TGAAGGTCGGTGCAGGACTGATACGGTGTGAGTAGGCTGATGAAATAAAGCTTTTTACATGTCCCTTTGTTTAAGGGCTGATTGGTCTGGGAAAATGGGGAGATGGTACACCTGCAAGGATGTGAGTATAGTGTACATCATTATAGTTCTTTTTCAGACTTTTCACTCATCATTTAACACTTGTCATACTGCAAAGTATATAGGAGAAAAATGATCAAAGGAATAGGCAACTATAACATTAAGATAAACTTAAACATCAATATTTATGGGATCATATGGAATATGATTGAAGTCAGGTGATCTGAATAAAGTAAATTCGGAAATGTTCATTAACAACAGGCATCCCATGAAGTTTCATGTGAGGTAAATTTGAATCAGAAAAAAGAGGAGTGCTGCTTCACATCTTGGGCTAGTAAACTTGCTTCCCTTGTATGTGAGGATCAAGTAAGATGCAGAATATAAAGGCACTGGCGTGAGGTTGATGATTTGATGGTCGTAGAGAACGCTTGATTTCACTACCAGTGGTTATGGGGACTGTCGTTAAGAGGAAGAATTTGGGATGAGCAATAAGGAGCAGTCATCATAAGGAAAGGAAGTCCATGAAGCTCTAGAGTCCTAGAAGTGGGGGTATTTAGAAGAGTATAAGGAAAGGACTTAGAGTTTGTGGTATTAAGAATGTGGGAGGAACTAATGGTTATTAGAGGAATTTGAGTGGTGGTAGGAGACGCACGCCCAGTATCATAGAGAAGGAGTTAGCAACTAATGTAGAGCTATATGTGACTAGTATTAAAACTGGAGAGTGATGGTTGGGTACTAAGAGGTGCTTGGCGGGTCCAGCTGCATGAAGGAACTTGAAATGATAGCAGATTTGAAAGATTGCTGTTCTGGGTTTTGTAGAGCTCAATTCTAGTTCTGGCCCCTGAGACCACTTCACTGTGATCATTTTGGACCTGTCTGAGCTGTAGAATGAAGGGACTAGATTATGTTATCCCCAAATCCCTTCACGTTCTTGATACTAAGCTTTTTACTAAGAGAAAATATTTTCATTATTCATTGAAAATATAAACAGATACAATGAGGTGTCTCCTCACACCAGTTAGAAGGACCATCATCAAAATGTCTACAAATAATAAATGCTAGAGAGAATGTGAAGAAAAAGGAACCTTCCTATGCTGTTGGTGGGTGTATAAATTGGTGCAGCCACTATGGAAAACTGTGTGGAGTTTTCTTAAAAAACTAAAAATAAAACTACCATATGATCCAGCAATTCCACTCCTCAGTATATATTTGGAAAAAGTGAAAACTAATTCAAAAAATACATGCACCCCAGTGTTCATAGCAGCACTATTTACAATTGCCAAGACATGGAAGGAACCTAAGCATCCATCAACAGATGACTGGATAAAGAAGATGTGGTATGTGTCTATATATATAGACACACACACACACAGAGGAATACTACTCAGCCATGAAAAGAATGCAACAGTACCATTTGCAGCAACAAGGATGGACCTAGAGATTGTCATCCTAAGTGAAGTAAATCAGACAAAGACAAATATCATATATCACTTATATGTGGAATCTAGAAACTAGTACAAATGAACTTATTTACAAAGCGGAAATACACTCATAGACATAGTAAACAAACTTATGATTACTGAAGAGGAAGGGAGGGGTAAGTTGGAAGGATGGGATTAACAGATGCACACTGCCATATATAAAACTGATAGGGAGGATTTATTATTTAGCACAGGGAACTACATTCAGTATCTCAAAATAAGCTATAATGGGAAAGAATTTTTAAAAAAGAATGTAGGTATATACATATGTAGAACCCAATCACTTTGCTGTACACCTGAAACTAACACAATATTGTAAATCAATTATATTTTAATAAAAATAAATAAACTACCCAGAGTTTCTGATTCAGTAGGTCTGGAATAGAGCCCAAGAATTTGCATTTCTAACACCTTAGAAACTACTAAAGTTTTTACTAGAGACTCTGACTTTAATCACATTCTGTTTGTGAGTATCTATTTCAGATTTGTTTTTAATCTTCCCAGTAAGACTGTAACTTCTTGTTTAGTGTTTCTTTGGGGAGGGCAGCTTTGTTGAGGTATAATTCACATAACATAAAATTCACCCATTTAAAGTGTACAATTCAGTGGCTTTTAGTATATTTACAGATATGTGCAGCCATTACTACAGTCAATTTTAAAACATTTACATCACCTCAAAAAGAAACCAAATAGGTAGAACACAGAGGATTTTTAGGGCAATGAAACTATTTTGTATTCCACATGATACTGTAATGGTGGATACATGTCATTATACATTTGTCAGAACTTATAAAATGTGCAATACCAGGAGTGAATTCTAAATGTAAACTGTAGACTTTGGGTGGTAGTGAATTGTCAGTGTAGCTTCATTGATTGTAACAAAGGTTAACAGTGAAGATTGGGGGAGATTATGCATGTGTGTGATAAGGGGATATATGGGAACTCTACTTTCTGCTGTTTTGCTGCTATGTCTCTCTCCACATCCTTCTTCAAGTTCATGTAAATATACAGATACAGATAGGAAGCTTTGAGGGTTGGTCATTTTTTTTTTATAAAAATAGGATACACTATAAATATCTTTCTGGAACTTGCTTTTCTCACTATGAACATGTTTCTACAGGTAGATCTAGTTCTTTCTTTGTAATTGCTGGGTACTATGTGTACCATAATGTAATGGATCCGTATCTGTGGAAGATGTTGGGTTTTTTTTGTTGCTATAATAATATTGGATAATATTACAGTGAATATCCCTGTACATTTATCTTTGTGCATTTGTGTAATACATCTGTAGGATATGAATCAGAAAATTATTTGTATTAAAAAGCTTGATTGATACTGCCAGTTGTCTATTATAAAGGTTATATCACTTCAGCAGCAGTGTGCATGGTTAAAACCCAAATCCTGATCTAAATACATTCCTCTCCAAAAGGATCTTAGTAGATTGATGGATTCCAATATGTGGCAGGTAAAGGGTAAAGTCAGCCTAGAGACAAGGAAATCCTCAAAGACTAATGAGGTCTTGTCAAAAGGATACAAAGAGCAAGCTGGAAGAGGCTCTGCTGGCCAAATCTGGGACAGTTTGAACCTCATACAAATAATGGTAATTGCAACTATGTTGAATTTTTAAAAATCAGTGGATCTCTAGTAATACTAAACAAAAGGTGGAAGAGGGAGAGAGTAAATCTCTTTTTTAAAGAATACTAGCTGATAAATGTAGAGGATTGACAGTATGAAGAAACATTCACCAGTTCACAACCCCCAACATAATCTGTAAAATTAAATTCAGGTATGGGTCATCAGCATCATCAGTCATGAAATACTAGGTGAGAGGTTGTTGAACTGTTCACATGATGCTACAGATTACTCACCAATCACAAGGGGAAAATGTATTTAACTTTACACTGGAGGATCCTGCAGTTACTGTGTTAACCAAATAATCAAACTCAGCATCACTAAGGCAGGACATCCTGATAATGTGCCATTTCATTGGATGCAGTAAGAAGTACCCAACTCACTTACAAAGTATTCTTTCAGAAATGTTTGGCCTAAATCTAATAAACCCTCACAATTATCCACAGGATTCCCTTCTGTAGTTAGAACTGTGGGTGATGATACTATATGACCTAGGTAGGTTATATTAGTGACTTCTCTGAGTCTCAGAGCCCTCATTTGTAAAATGGTGATAATGAATCAGATAAATGTATGGTGGTAGCCTAAATGTACTTTGTTGAATTTGTATAGTTTGTTTATAAGATAAAAATAGTTTGGTGCACAGTAAAAATTTAACATATTCGTTCACATCTGCTGTCAGAATCCATTCACAGCCACCAAGTATATAGCTAAATGAAGGCTACATTTCTTTTTTTCTACAGATAATTTCCTTATGTAACTATTTTCTGTAATCTGATGGCATGTTTCAAGAATCCCCTACACTTGCCTAGGTGCATAAGCTCATGAAGCCCCAAGTATGCCAGAAAGCCTTCTAGTGAAATATTCAAGGGAGATTTTAAGTAAGAGAGCATGAATTAGAACATTTCTGTACTCTTTAGACATTTAGATTGACTTGTCTGAAATTTTATAGTTCAAAAATGGTCTAATAACAGCAATTTCATGTGCCTCAACCTAATGCATGCGTTATGGTAGAGGCTTGGTACACTACCTTTATCTGCCAAGCAGTCTTTTTTCCCCCTTATGTTGTAGTGCAAGATTTTCTCAGAGGAGGAGAGAGGAAGGAGCTGGATTGATCCAAGTTTGAGGGGAACTGTGATGTGGAGTGGTTTTCTAATTATCTTAGAATGTTTCATTTCCTTGGCTCCACTCTCACCTCCCACCTCCCACTCCTTTTCTTTCCAGGTAGTGGGGAATGAGGCACAAGGAAAGGACATTTTTCTAGTTCTTCTTTTTCCTGACTTTAAATTCTGGATTGGTCTATTTGAATAGGCAGTTGCAGGGTCTTAAAAACTTGAGATTTCCGGTTTCTCTGGTTTTCTTCCAAAGAGAGCACTTAGAAATACTGGTGTACCTTTTATTTATTTACTTACTTACCCTAGTTACTCATAGAATATGGAAGGAAGACAGGTTGAGGGATTTCAGGGGCGTTTTCTTTTATAGAATATAAGCAATAGAGTAATAACTGATAAGAGATTGGGAAGTTTCAGGCAGTAAAGGGAGTAATGCAGTTGTCACATCATGCAAGATTCCTCCCTGGGATATGGCCCTTATAACAAGGGTCTGTAAGAGAGTGATTTATCTTCCTTACAGAATGTGTTCCAGGCAAATGCGTATAGTTTCAGTATTTCCTCAAACAAGAAATTAATTCATTGGAAGACCTTCCTCCTTAAGGAAATGTGGTCAAACCTTTATATAAATAGCTTTCTTAAAATCCTTAGTTCTTGGCAAGCCAAGTTATTGTCATTGTGAAAATTATTGTTCACGCCCTAGACAGCTGCTCAGGAAGCAATTCTGCACGCGTCTGGAAATGGCAGGCCTTCACCATCTAAGGACTACTGCATGCTGTATAACCCTCACTGGACAGCTCTTCCAAGTACCCTAGAAAATGCAGTAAGTAAACCACAGTTTCTATTCTAAAAATGGAATGATTTGTAAACATAAAAATATTGAATAAATAGAATGAGTATTTTTGTGTGTAAACTAGTTGTAATATATGTAGTAAATAATAATAATAATTTTATTCTTCTTGCTTAAGTAGTTTTCTCTCTGTGGGAAAAACAAGTTAGTGGATTTTTAAAAAATACTTCCTCAAAACCTGATTGTCATAAAATATTTCTAATTTGAAAGAACGTTGTATTAAACCAGTGTTAATACTTCATTACTGAATGTATTTAGGGTGACATATGATATTTATCATGTTAAAGGCATTTCTTCTTTCCAGTCTTCCATTAGTTTGATGAATCTGACTACCGCAACACTGTGCAACCTTTCTGATATTCCTCCTGATGGAATAAAGAACAAAGCAGTTGTGGTACAGTGGGGAACCTGTCATTTTCTTGAAAAAGCCAGAATTGCACAAACAGGAGGTGCTGAAGCTTTGTTGGTTGCCAATAATAGTGTCCTAGTAAGTTATAAAATTATGATTACTTCTTTTGAGTTCAGGGTATCAAATTTTAGAGGAATTAAACTATTCTCTTTGTGTGTGATTTAGGGGCTGAATTTTGAATAATCTGATAGTAGGATTCTTTTCAAATAAGCATTCTGGTTATGTTGAGCATTTAATTGGAAATTTTTGTTGTTTCTTTTTCATTCCTAAAGTAGACAAGACTATGTTAGGAACAGTGTGTGTGTGTGTGTGTGTGTGTGTTGCACATACATATGTATGACATACCTCTGTGTTTGTGTATGTACGTAAAATATCAGTTTAAGTTTATTCTAAAGTGATTCCAATTTGAGAATTTGTACTATAATAGTAAGAAAGAACCCATGAAACTTTGTTTTATAACTTAAATGTAACATTTATATTTAATGGAATTATTTGTGTTTTATTTTGTAGACACACTAGTCATTCCTAAGTTTTCGTAATATTTTTTTCTTTTAGTTTCCTCCCTCAGGGAACAAATCTGAATTTCAGGATGTGAAAATACTGATTGCTTTTATAAACCACAAAGACTTAAAGATATGATGCAGGTAAATTAGTAATTATATATTTGACAAA